CGGAAGTGTACTTAAAGCACTGTAAAAAATTTATCTAACATAAAGAATTATGACTCCAAATTTTAAAAAATTTTTTAAGTTAAACCCAAGAATTTAGTCTTTACTATAAATTAATAATAATAATTTCATGAAAAGATAAAAAAAGTAATTTTTAGAATGATAAAGCTATTAAAAACATTTGTTGCTTACATATAAAATCGATTTAGTTGATCATTTGTAGTAAATAATGCATTAGATATTGATATGAAGCACAGTGATCGGTAGGTAAGTAAGAATCGTATCAGTAATTCAGGATATATTGCAGGACAGTGTTCTACACCAAGCTGTGAAATTGTTAGTAATAACAATAATAATTTTTTGTTCAGAAAATTTCAGTTTTTCATTCGTGAAAAATCTGTGAAAAAATATAACTTAAAAATGCAAAAATTATTATCCCTATAAATATGTGTAAAACTGATTTTAATGGCTATAACATTAGATGATTTACAGCAGAGCTATCCTTGTTCACACAACATTACAAAATTTCATTATTTAAATAAGTTTGAATTAATTTTCTGTCTTCAATATTGTAAAAAATACAAATAAAATAAAGCATTAAAATATTTTCCATTAGTTTGTCAATAGTTCGTAATTTAATTTTAATTATAATTAATTAGTAACTATGAAAAAGAGTAAAAAATTTTCGGCCTTGCCGAGGTGCTAGCGATTGGCTAGTGCTGATACAAGAAGTACAGGGACGTGAGATAAACCAGACAAAGTGGACTTGGAAAATAATATCGGAGAACATGGACCCGCTCATAAGTGGAACAGTAAACCAAGCGCGCGTGAATATGCTACACAGAATCCCCCCAAGTTAATGACTGATATTGCAAGGCAGCTCCAGGCAGCATAACGTTGTTATGAAGACATGACGAGGCGAGAGAAGTCGTCGGGGTGGGAAGCAAGCATAGAAAAGAAGATAAGCTTGTTGAATTTTTACAAATCCCTCATAGAACGGTCTTTAGCGGGTGAAAAAAAACTGGGAGGTGAAGATTTAAAAGAGGACAAGAAGTTATAAGTGGGATGAATCTCATACTTCCTTTCAAGCGTGAATGTCATGAAGCATTAAGCATATTTACAGATTGTGTGTGAGTTTACGAAAGTAAAATAAAGAGGTATGAGACCCGATGTTCATTCAAAATACAAAACGCCAGATTCGAAGATGGTTTTGGAAGACGGTTTTATAGAAGTACCGAAAAATAGCCCGTAAACGAGAATGTAAGAATGAAGAAATCAGGGATTTTTGGGGTGCCATGTAGAACTCCGGAACGGGAAAGTATGATGATATCCAGCACAACGAATATCTCGAAGAATTCTTTTCAGGTGATGAAGTGCATTATAATTTTCCCTCTGAAGCCGAATTTGAGAAGGTAGTTTCTTACTTGGCCAATTTGAAAGCGGCAGGGCCTGATGGAGTTTAAAACTTCTTTATTAAGAAGCGTACCTCCTTGCATCCAGACCTGTACAAAATAGTAAAAGAGATTTGTCTGGATGGGGAGGAACAGGAATCGTGGTTCTATAAATGTACTACCTATCTGATTCCAAAAGGCGTCCCAAGTAAAGGGAGCGATTTCAGGCCAATAACTTGTATGTTGAACCTTTACAAGTTAACAACAAAATGTGTGGCATGTGTCATGTAGCTAGATGTTGCTAGGAGAAATCTGCTTGCAGAAAATCAATTAGGAACTGTTACCTAGGTTCAAGGTGCGAAGGAACAAGCAATGTTGAACCTGGCGGTTTGCAAAGAGCACGGGAACTAGCTTTACACTACGTGGTATGACAAAAAAATGCGTTCGATTCAGTGAATCATGAATGCTTGTTTAAGTGCATTGAAAGGCTAAATACGCCATCGTGGATTAGCAGGTTTCTGAGAAGCATCACGTCCAGATGGGCGCCAGTACCAATAAAGCGAAAGTTCCAGCGCCAGAACCAATAAAGCGAAAATTAAAACTAACCTCCACATAAAAAAGAGTAAAATCTTACACAAACTCGTTTTAGATTAATTGAGGCAGAATGACTTTCGCACAATGAATACAATATTTCTGCTAATGTATCATACTGACAATTCAATTCAAGGCATTCTAAATTGTACATCTGACGTAATGGTGGCACTTCAAACCAATACGAGCATCCTAAAATTTTAATGTAATTATAATCGAAACTAGTTATTGAAATAAAATCAAAACAATAAACAAAATTAAGCTATATCTTAAAAATATATGAAAATTAAACCTTTTCTTGTGAATTTTCGCGCAATATATCCATTGAGAAGTAAAACTTTTACTTGTTGGAAGTAATGTAAAGCCAATATAGCGTGGGGATTGAAATATGGTTTATCACAAGATTGACTTAGATCCAATCGGTTTAATTTTGAGAGTATCGACGACAACTTTAAAAAAAATAATTTTAGTGGTTTTCAAGTGAATTTTTAGAACAAATTTTAAAAATATTTTAAAAAGCGATCAAATTAAACATTTTAATGCTACCAAATTTATAAGTATTTGTGTATTCACTATATTTTCATTTTTTGCAGCCAACCATTGTGAGTTATATGTTTAGAATTATTTTGTACCTCAATTTGAAATAATTATAATCAAATACAAATATTTCCAACACTTTATGCAAAATCAGTACAAGTAAATAAATAATTAAATACCATGTAATGAGTTATTAATTCAGGTTGAAAAAATGAACAAATTACTATTTATTAAGTTATTAATAACTTTTATTCATTACAGCTAAAATAATTTATAACTACAAAATATTGTCAATAAAACACGCCTCCGAAGTTTAAGTATTTATTATTAAATAAACTGCTTTTTTTAAATTCGAAAAATTATTTCTGTTAAATTTGATAATAGTTCTAGATATGAAAATTGGTAACTGATAACTTTACAACTTTATAAATAACTTGCTAATAATTCTATAGAAGGCAACGTCATTAGTAAGTTAAGGAAGGATATTTTTAAGCAAAAAGTTATCTCAAGTGCTTACTCTGATTGAAAAGTTAGTACAGATAATGTTGCTAGTAATTTTACGACGATAATTAAGCGGGTCACATTACTAATAACGTTAGACATAATGACATAGTTATAAATCAAATTTTCAATACCTGAGTTAATCCATGAAAAGTTAGAACGACTGGGCAGTTTCGTAAGGAAAGATCACGCAAGTCACGCATGTAAAGTCCAACAAATTTTAAAAATTTATCGAATATTAAAGGAGTGTGAGTCGAATTTTCTGCAGAATTACTTTCATAAAATGCCATCATGTAATCAGAAAACACGTTTAGATAAAATCGTCGAGATAACTTGTGCTCTGCAAGTTGCTTGTAATAACTTGAAACCTGTAAAATGCTTTGCAAAATAAATATTTGAAAGATTAGCATAATAAATAATAAATTAATGCCTTTTTTTAATATGTTAAGTGCTATTAAATCCCTTATTTTGTCCAATTTCTTTCAAAATTCAAATTTTTTTTTTTAAAAACCGCAAGAAATATGTTTGAATGATTGTTATGCAAAATACAAAAAATATTTAACCTGTCTCAATTTAAGCAGAGTGAAAAAATCACAGTAATCAAGTATGACACATTGTATTTCAGATGGTAGCAGCAAAATTGGAGCCATTGCAAAAATTTGTAGTCTTTCAATTCTGATAAAACACAATAATCTCTAAAATTTTTAATAAATATATACAATAATTACTGCCGTCAAGCAATTAATATTTATTACATCAAAGATTTATTAATAGAATAAAAAATGAAAATTTTTTAAAATTAATTATTTAAAAAAATAAGAAATAAATGTAAACTATAAAAAATACTTGTAAAGTTCATAAGCAAATTGTTTTGTCGACAAAGCAAATTTGAATTATTTTCGTAATAAATTTAAAAAAGAATTGTACAATTTATTTTTGCAAGTATATTTGAGTATTTTTTATGCTAAATTATTGCCTAAAACTTTTTATAAACTTTGAAAGTAGACAAAGTATGCAAAATTATCAAAAAAAGTGCTTGTAAAATATATTTTTTGACAAATATCGAATGAACTTTCTTGGGTCAAAAAGCATACTTAATTGAATAATTAATGAAAATAAATAGAATAACTTTAAAAAAAATAATAATAACGGTTTCAATATTACAACTTCACATATAATATTTTTTGAATTAAAAAATATTACACACAGCTTTTTTAATAAACGAATAAGTATCTAATTCAAATTTGAAATTTAAAACGTTTCAATAAAGCAATTGTGATGAATGACTGCGCTAGAAAAATTCATTAAAATAGATAGGAAATAACAGAATTTAAACAAATTGTTAAAATTAATAAAAGATACATAATGTGATTAATAAATTGATTATTAATAAAATTAATTAATTGCCTAAAACTCATTTTTGTTATGCATTATAAAGTATTATTACTTCAATGACACGCTGTTCTAATCATAACTAATTAATCAAACTGATACCAAACCACAGAAATTGCTGCTTCATTTCTGAGTATAAGTAATAAGTAACACTTTACAAGCATAATAAACTATAAATTCTTATTCTTCGGAAGTTTTTCACATTTTCAATTTTTGATCATTCATTCTCAGCACTTAATTTTCCATACACAAATTATTGCAATTTTGGATGTTTAACAGTTCATAGTAATGTGAAAATAAAATAAATGGTACGTCTTATTTTGTTTTTTCAAATTTTGAACTCTTGAAAGAATCTAAATTGAACAAAGCTTTGGTAATAAGTATATTTGTGGTTGGAATTATTTCAAAGAATAACAAAAATGACAAATAAAATAGACAAATTCATAATTTTCACTAATATTATACAAATTTATATTTTTACAAAATTTTTAGCAAATACTAAAAGTAGCATGAAATTTTATTAAAGGATTATTTTTGTAAAATGCTCCGAAGCGAAATTTGTGGCCATTATTGCTTGATTTTAGAGTAAATTTGTAACATTAATGCTTGGTTTGTAAGTAAATTGTGGCATTATTGATCGATTTGTGAGTAAATCGTGACATTATTGATTGATCCATGTGTAAATTTGGGCATTATTGACTGACTTATAAATAAATTGGGACATTAATAATTGGTTTGTGAGTAAATTTATGATATTATTGACTATTTCATGAGTATATTTGTGAATTCTTTCTGTAATGCTATGCGGAAAAGAATTTGTTTTAAACTGAAATTTATAATCTACTAATTATTGATTGAGGTCAAATTTAATGAGAAATAATACACTTGCATAAACTTCAGTACAAAGTTACTACTTAATCATTAAAATGAGTAAAAGCGTTGATAAATTCTGTACTTGTACTACCCTGAGATTTCTTCAGTTCAAAGTTCAGTAGCTCAATTCACTCACAGATAAAACTGGCCGATTACAATTACAATAAAAGCAACAATGTGCAAATCTCCGAGAAAAGGATAAATTCTTGCACTTATTAAGTAATTCAGTCGTCTGAAACTATTCCATCATAGTAATTTATACTTTACTACATTTTACACCACTAAAATACTACTAGTTCTTTCCATAAAATATGCAAATTTTTGTTCAATATGCAAATTTGATTATGAATTTATGAGGATAACAGAAAAACCGACTTTCTCTCTCTGAAAATAATTCTTCGAATAACAAAACGTAGCACTGTAAATGGTTAAATTTGAATCCAAATGACTGGATAACTTTTCTTGCATACAAGTTCAAAATGATTGTGATATGATAATGATAAGACGAAGGTTAGCTTCTTTTCAGTGTTGGTAGTGATGTCAAATTGGTTTCTAGAATCTTCCTCTGTGGCTCCCCTGGCAGTCATTCTTAAAATGCTGATCTTCGTTGCTGCATTCTTGTTTACTGCATTTAAAAATGTAATCAGTTATACTGCTGATTTGCTCGACGTGTATGTTCGTGGTTATTCACTATTATCTCATTTCACGTCATTACATACGGAAATATTTTCGTCCCGCATTTCGTATCTGACCCGAGTTATTAGCACGTATATCATCTTTCGCCTTTTCTCGCTCTCGACTGTAATCAACCTTTTTCACTATGATGCCAGCCTATTTCAGAGTTGCTTCGTGTCTCCTCTTATCGCAAAGCAAGATATCCCGTCAATCTGCTCTCACTTCAGACGTTTATCTTACTTGCGCATCAAGCCTTATCCCCATATTACCACTAGCAACAATCTTCTTAACGGAATTCCTTTGCAAGTGTGGGAATGGTTTCAAACATGTGTAGCATTCTTCTTTCAGAGTTTCAGGTGTATGCATCGCTGCACTTCATTATGTCTTCTAGCATACTAATGGTACAGCATTTCTCTCCAAGTTATTTAATTATATCTGTAGGGTATTTCGAAGAGTACCGCCATATCAGTATGTCTCAGTGTTAATTAATTAATGGTTGAATTTGCGAGGCGTACCAATAACCTAACTACCTAAAGGTATCCCTGGATTTCTTTAGCCTTCCTTTGATATATTGAAACGTCGAAATTTTTTAAAATGCGTAAAGCGTATTAAAACGTGAAATTTATCTATTCTTTTGGACGACTAGTTTTTATTAACTGTCTGGAAATGTTATTTTATAATTTTTGTTGCTTAGTACTCTTTTTTTTGTAAATTGTTTGTACGATGTGATGAAGAGAGTATGGGGAAGAAATTGTGTTTGAGATCAAACGCTTGCAAGGTCTATGCAACTGATAATATTTATATCTTTATTTAAACATTAAGGATTTTTCAAATTATCTTCCAGAAAGAGCTTCCAATAACTTTTTAAAAATCTCTTTGAAATTCGTTCTTCTGAGAGTCCTCTCTATTTTTCAGGCTTTCAGTTTTATTCAAACTTTTTTCTAAAGTTCATTGCTTAGTTTGAATACTGATTGATTTGAATGTTAAAATCACTCTTTAACTGATATGATTTAGAGGATAATAGTGACAAATATCTACTGTGCAATTTGTTTTTTAAAACTGAATGTGCTCATACTGTTTACAATTGCAGTAAACTAAAAATATAAAAATCACATTCCGGCACTCTAGCAGTATTTGTCCGAACTCAAATTTGTTGACTCATCGTCAAAAAAAATCAACATCAACATTATATTTTTTCAAATCTGCCATTCATTAATTCATTAAGAAAAAATCTAATCTGACTGATCTGATCTGACCTAAATTAATCTGACTGATCTGATCTGACCTTAATTAAAAATCTCAACTATGAGATTTTTTCTTTTCAGATCAGTGATTCATTATCGTAGATTACAAACATTTACTGGCAAACACTTTATTCGGATATTGTTTGCCTGGGTTATTAACAGTGAAAAACGAGTAATTGTCATAAATTTGATCAAGAATTTGTTCATTACTTTCGAATTCATCTGCCCAATGTACGCTATATCGAATTTTCCTTTACAGCTGTTGCATGTTCTGAATACATTATCTCGCACAATGAGATTATTATTTAAAAGTTCTGTATCATGTCAAGTCAATTTTTCAAAAATAGAATAATCAACAAAAATTTCTTACTGTAATTCTTCTGTATGTTTTCTGTATTTCTTTTTTTGTGTCTTGCTCACATAGATTAATAATTCATCTATTGATATAATGATTCATTTAATCCTTCAGATTCTTGAGATTAAATAGGACATGACAAAAAGTACTGAAAAATCCACGGTATATTTGCGTTCTTTCTTGTATATCCTCCGAGATTTTTCTTCTTCTTCGTATTCTTCACCTATTTCCTTACAATGGCTACACTGCGATTCTGAGAGTAATTTTTCATCCGACGATGAGATTCCACTGTAAAAACAAGAGCATGGAACATTAAGCAGATCATTCCCAGTACAGCTGCTATCTTCTTGCAATGCTCCTGCACCCCTGTAGAACAATAATGAGTCCGTTTAAATTTCTTATGTTATTTCATTACATTTTTATAGTTTTTCAGTAATATATTGATCATATTCTGAGCAATATTCAAGTGAAACATCACCAAGATTTCCATTTATTTTGCTTGTTAATCAACATAATTTAAGACTAAATATCTCAATATTTTTTCGCTGTACTGATCTTTACGACACTGTTGAGAATGTCTTATGACCAGAATTCAAAATATAATCATTGAGCAAACCACTGCGTGGGTCAAGCGGTAGACGTGTGACAATTGCAGATGTAAAGCTGTTCTTGTATCCGCACGTGTAACTTCTTCTTAATTATCCTTCAGATACTCTAACAACGAACGTCGCCATCCCAAATAATCCATTACTATTTATTGTATTCTTCTGGCACCTAGTAATCCTTATTTCATTTGCTTCCTCAAGCCATTCAATCTATAAGCAAATAATTTCGTGACTTTGACATTTCCAGATCAAGTGCTTCTACATGTAGATATAAAAATATAATCTACTCTTCAAATGTTGTGAAAGTTTTGAACAACTTGATAAGATTTTAACGCAGTGTATGCTTTTATGAATACACGTCACCTGAACGTACAACAAACACACGCTAAGTTACTGTAATCTTGTGCATACTTTCATTTTATGTTACTGATGTGAAAAATCATCAACTTAAAATAAAGAAAAAAGATATTCCTTGAGAATTAAACGTAAAACGTGAACCGATTAGTGATTTGAAATTTGAACTTGTTCAATTATTAGGTCTCTCTCTGAAACACCAGTTTACAAGTCGACTCAGCTTTAAACCTTATTCAGGCGCAGTAAAGCATGGCTCCAAAAAGTGTACACTTTGTAAAGGTTTTTTAAGCTGCACAATTTTTATCAAATTGTAATCTCTTAGTGAACATGAGATAGCATTTATAGACAATTATTTCCCGTCATCGTCATGCCTGCATGATCATATCAGTAATAATTTTACGCTTTTAACATCTGTTAGCGTGAACTTTTGAACCTTGTAATAAGGACATTCCAGATGAAGAACTTCTGGTAATGCTTTGTATATCAATTTTATTGGGCACAAAATGAGTGCACATAGAATTAATTGTGGGCAAGCCAAAAAAAAAGTGGCGGAGAATTCTGTATAAACGTCAACTATTTGATGATAAAATATAGTGGTGGCAGCGAATTTTTAAAAGAGCTAAAAACTAACAGTAATTAAATCCTTCAAACATGCTTGTATTACAGTAGTTTTGAATTAGATGCTAATTCGAACTTAGATTCATAGAAAAGTATGGAAAGTTTCGAGAAGCTTGAAAAATAATTGTTTTTTGCATTTGTTTTTTTAGTACAATTTTCAAATACAATGAAAAATCTGCAAATAGTTAGGATTACCAGTTATAAATATGTATTGTTATAAAAGTATTTTTTCTAAAACTTACGCAGAAAACGTACTTCTGTGAGTTGTCAAATAAAGACGACAGACAAAAAAAATGCAAATATTTTAACACATATCAAATGTCGATCAATTGTAGCACTTGTGATATGTTTCTACAAAAAACTACAGTCAGAATGAAAATGATGATGATGTTTATACATAATAACAAATCACTGAAAGAAAATTCCTGAAGAAATGCAAATGAAACAGATACACCGCTTTACATTTGCAAACTGTACAGACATTTTCTGAGAAGTCTTACGTCATCTTATTACTTTAACAAAACTGCGTCAGTTCATAAAAACCACGCATACAAAACTGCTGCTCCAATGGAGAACCTGAAAAGTGAGACAAAAATCAAGGAATGCATTTCGTAGTCTACACTTGGACGTTATTGTTTTTACTAATTAGAAAAGATCTATTATCTGATGAAAAGTTCATGATGAAATATTTATTCTTCATAAAACATCGGAATATGACAAAATTAAATGACAATATAAACTAACCAGAAACAAGCATACAGCATATGATCGTTTCTATGAATCACCCGTGTCTGACCACCAATCGGACCTCCTTCTACCGTAGAATCTGAAGTATTATGAGATGTATTATTGCAGAGTACCTGTCAAACATTTTTTTTTGAATAATATGCCAAGTTTATTTTGTTACATAAAATATTTCGCAAACATACGTCCAGATTTCCTGCCATATCTAAGGAAAAAAAATTCACCGTAACATGCGTCTACAAGTACTGCCTCCGTACCATATTTTTCTGCCATTTGTGAAATATCTGTGTATAGCCACAAATTTCTATCTGGATCATTTTTTTTAACGAAAATGGGCTTCTAAAAATTAAAAATCAGAAATCTTATCTTTTTTAGCTTGTTTCAAATTGCTCTTATAATTCTATACAATTTGATACATCGAAAGTGAAAATGTAAAAAATCAAGGAATACATTTCATATTCTATCTAGACGTTAGTGTTTTCACGTATTAGAGAAAAAGGTCAATCCTGACGGGTGAATTTTTTGATTCTATGACACTAAACACTCATACTTTACCTTTTCTGAATGACGAACTACTGCATTAAATGTGACTTGACCTTGAACTTGTCCTTCAGCTCGATTGATAGGATTAATTCTTTGTGGAGGAACCCATCCACGATTTACAAGAATGATAAGGCTGCGTAAAAAATCTAGTTAACTTTTGAATTTTTTAAAAGTGAACAGAGACTCAACATAAATGATTTTATTTTCTTTTTTAAAAACGTAATATTTGAAACATACCCTGACGGATAAAGCTTGAATGGAGTAATGACTTGTGCTCCAGAATTACCCAATGAGGACACACTAGGTCGTTTTTTTGACTCGTCCTTATCTCAAAATGACATTTTTGGGACTTGAAAATGACTACATCAACTATCTTTTCTTAAATTTACATAAAAAAAGAACGTACGCTCATCAAAGCGGACTCTTGGTAGCACATAAAATTCTCGATCATGAAGGAATTCTCCAGTTAATTGCACTTTTGCATATTCAAGATCATCCAATAATGATAAGCTGAAGTTATTAATCAAACTAAAAATAGGATGCTTCCTAATAAATTAGGCATAATATCATAAGCCTTTATAAACACAATAAGTATTAAACTTCTGATGGCAAGTATTACTTTTCATCTGGAAATGGCATCACTTCTTGCTTTGAATTGTTTTCAATCTTTTTCAAAAGATCTGTTTTCCATCGTAATCGTTGTAACTGCCACGCGCCAAGTGCAAAAGCAAGTAGAGGAGCACCCTAACATAAGTTCGATGTTATGCAACTGTAAAACTTTTAGTGTATACAGAACTTTAAGGGTATGGAAAAACTAGAATAAAGAATGAAAAAACTAAAAAATTGAACACTGAACCAATCCAACAATCGGATTTAACTTATTCCACAGCTTTTCACGCTTTTTCGAAGACTGTTTTGATTCTTCGGCAATCTGAAATAAATTAGTTAAAAATGGTGGTAACTGTTATATACACAGTTCCAATAATCCCTCTTCCAATTATAAAAGATTATGAAAACTTAAACCAAATTTGTATATCATAAATTTTACGACTTGTGAATGAGGACTAAATAATTAACAAAACAAATTAATCATTTTTTAAATAAATTTTCGACTGAAAATAACTTTTTAAACTGGGACCAAAAGTTGAGAAGATGGAGAGCATTTAAATAACAAAATGAATTGCTTTCAAGTGTAAGAAGAATTTTTCTACATGTGATACTGCCTGCGATGAACTGTATTTTGTGTTGAATAACATTTCCGGGAAAATCTTTAACATTAACATGCAAAAAATGTCGGCGAGATTCCACACTAAAGCACAGTAGCATGTAAAGGAAATAACAGTAATGTTAGTGGGGCAATCAGAATATGACAGTAGAAGAAAGAGTTGAACTTACATCATAAACTGATGAATTTCGCACGCAATGGAACAGTAAACATTTGCTACCTCTGTTGGAAACTAAATGTTGCAATAACTTATCAGTTAATCCATTAAACATATTCAGTAATTGGCTGAAATGATTTACATTTAACTAATAAAAAACGAAAATTAACGATTCCTGATATTTCTGAAACAGTTTAAACAGAATTTGACGTCAAATGTTCGTGTTCAAATTAAAAAACACACACATCCACTTTGCATATAAAGAAATCATCACGTAGCCGATTACTTTTCATCAATTTACGACACAAGTAATGAAAAAACATGATAAAACACGCTACAAATTGTCATTCACTGAAAGACTGAGTATGATGAGAGCTGTTTGCAGTCGTAATTATTAGCAAATAACGCATATTTACTTCCCAACTTTATACGAATATATAAACTTTACACTGGCTACCTTAAGCTTAACACAGCTCAACGAATTCCAAATCTTGCTAATTCAGCTCTGTATTGCTAAGTAGCAATGTTATTGCCAACTTCATCAAAGCTTTCTTTTGCTACAGTATTTTGCCCATTAGATTCGCTAGCTTCACAAGTCTTATCTTCCTTACGAACTTTTCATCCAATCAAAACTGAATTATGCTCCAAATCCGATGACTGTAAGGAATAAGTAGCTTGTTTCCATACGTATTTTCTCCGACATGAGAAGTTCACCCTAAAGGTAGAGTAAATTGGCCGAGTTATAATCGTGAACAATTTGTGGCACGGCCGCGAAAAACTTCATTCTATAGAAATCGATGAAATTTGCTGAGGTTATCAATGTTGTTTCTGATTGAGATATGATGTGATACTAAATTAACTAGAATTCGCTGAAGCTTTGTTGAAGTTATTACTGTTTAAAGGAATTTATAGAATTTTAGGCGTGAAAATGATTTCTGAATCGATGTACATAGAAATGATGAAGAATTGCTCTAAGTGGAATAGCAGAGTTGAAGCTGAACGTAAAGGTCGTTATACAGTTTTAGATCCCCAAACTGGGATTGCACAGCACCCATCTCATCATGCTGTTTATGAATTATGCAATCGTTATCCTCCATCAAATCCTTCACAGGTTTTGTTTTCAAACGATCTCCTTTTATTCGGATTCTTTGACAAGAAATACAAATGATTTTTCCACCAAAGTTAACAAGATGGTGGGAAATTTTTTTTTCAAAAATTTGGTAATTTGATGTTTTTACTGAAATACTAGCAAATAAAGAATTAATTTTTCTAGTATTGTACATATGTCAGTAGACGCTGGAAACGACAAAAAACAGCGCCAACATCAGATGCAACTGAGATGAAGTATATATTGGAATGCAATCCAAGTATTAGCGATGTCATAAATCAAGCAAGTACAGCAAGTCAAGGTTTTGTAATTTTTTTTCTTTTTTTAAGTAAATAGTTAAAAATTTTAAATTAAGGAATGACCGCATGTCTTGGATGTGAAAGATTTTTTGAATGAAATCAAAAAGTGATAATAATAATAATAATAAAATTGCTAATATAAAGAACTTGGTTTTCCACGGTCTAAATCTCAACACTGATTGTTTAGATCCAGTTGAATTCCAGTCACTTTCTGCAGTTGCCAGTTCATCACTTGAAAATCATTTTACGGAAAAACGGAAAATATATGTGAGTGTTGGTCTTTTTCAATGAAAGTTGTTATTTGAATAATTGGGCAAAACTCGATGAGAATATTTGTTGTTGCAATCTTTTGAGATCCTTGTTGTATGAAAACACACTATCCTTCACTAATCGCATCAAACATGATCGACTAGCCATTTAATCAGATTGATTTGATGGTAAAAGCATGAATGTTATGTCGTATAGCTACTCATGAAAAAAGGATTGTTTTATAAAGCTTTTGTAACTTATTTCTTTAAAATTACAGATGATGAAGGAACCTGGAGTAGAGGCAGAAGTTGAGGAAGCAAGCGAAGAAGATCCTGGAGAAGCTTCAGATGAAGAGGAGTGGTCAGATGGCCGAAAAAAGCGTAAGAGAAGAGGAGCCCCAACAGGTGGTCGTGGTGGTCGTAAAAGTGCGACAGCACTGTCGATAAATGTTCCAGCCACTCAGGGATTTACACCAGATCCTAAGCCTTTCATTTGCAGTTGTAAGTATTTTCGTTTACTTTCGTGTGAAGCATTTTTAGTTAGCAAAATAATTTATATTCAGACATTCATTCCTTTAATTTTTCGGCCATTGTGAAAAAAAATTAGATTAAAGGTATTTATATTACTGATCATAGTTATCTAAGTCTTATAAACATTTATTTCAGTATGTGGGGCTAAATATAAAAGTCGTCCGGGTCTAAACTATCATCGTGCTCATGTACATGCAGATAATGTCAGTCCATCTACAACACCACAACCAGCACATCGTATTGATTGATTATTTTGTCTTATTGGTTACCAGCTTATTTCTATATCTAAAGAGTACAAAGCTTTTAAGTCTCGGGTAATATCCAAAACTTTCCTAATCTATTATTGCGACACATCAGACGGGTTTATTTTATTAAATTATCACTGTATTAAGAAATGCTTGTTTTCCGGATATTCGTATATTTGTTGTTATCCGTTTGCTATCTTAAGTGTCCAGTTAGTATCTTTCTTTACATATAAGTTATATATATATATATATTTATACATATTAATCATAAGCATAAAAATTTTCAACAATGAGCTTTTTTTTTCGGCAGTAACACAACACAGCGTAGTGTTTTGAAGAAATTGGAAAAAGTGAAGCCATTTCAAATTACGGAACCATCCAAAGGTCAGAAAATTTTTCAAGATTGGTTTATCGATTGCAGTGCTTACCAGTGCATGAGGAAGGTTGTGCACACAAAAATTCCTCTCTGAATAGTACAGCTGGTGCAAGGAAATAGTAATGACAGGAATGAGTTGCGGAAACTTGGTGAGGACTGAATTTTGTCTTATTGTCATACAGTGATTTTCAGTTTTGTCACCGAGTCTTGACGTATCCACCATTTGTGACTTATGTTTGGGTGACTGCAATGAGAACAAAAGAACGATGAAACCAGAGCAGCTCATCAACTGTCATGACTGTGGTCGAGCAGGTAACGGAAAGACGTTTTATGCTCTCCAATTTCATGTATTCATTTTGTACTTGCTCTCATCTATTAATTCTCAAACCAAACATTGGTTTTGACGGAAGTTTCCATATGATTTCCTGAACTATCGTTAATCACTAATCTTTATTTCAGCACCTGTGATTGAGAGCAGAAAATTACGAGTTGTTTTTTGTGAATTGTTTTCACTGACGTATTTGTATCCTTTAGCTTCATTTCAGGTCATCCAAGCTGTCTTAAGTTTACTGATAACATGCTTGTGTCCACAAGTAAATACGGCTGGCAATGCATTGAATGTAAAAGTTGCGCTATCTGTGGGTTATCTGACAATGACGTAAGTGTGATTTAATTGAACGATTAAAATTGGTACTGGTCGCTATTTTGTTCCTCTGCTTTTTAAAAGTATATTGGTTTTTATATAACAGTAACAAATAAAATTTCCGCGAATTTTCAAAGCTTGACAGTATTTCAGGATCAGTTGTTATTCTGCGATGATTGTGATCGTGGTTTCCATCTTTATTGTTTGAAACCACCTTTGTCACAAGCTCCAGAGGGAGAGTGGAGTTGTCATTTGTGTCAGAAGCACTTTGGTGCAAAAGCTTCACGTCCAATGGTATATACTAAAAAAGGATGAGCAGTCATCTGCCATTCTAGCAAACTGCATTTACACAATATCTTTCTTTTTCAGAATTAAATTCTACTTCTAAAGAATATCAGTACTACTGAATTTCGCAACACATATTGCATTTATTTGAAATTGATTTTTATCAAAAATAGTTTTCTTGTGATTTATATTGTCGGTGAAATGAGCATTTATGCTTACCCTCTATTTGAATAATTTGCAATGCTGCAGTAATATTCAAATTGATTGAATCAAATTGTGTCGTTTTGATAAGTTGTCAGTTGTTTTCGATGTGACTTTTAGATGTGGAAATATTTGAAAGACCTCACGTTTTTCAAGTGAGAATTTTGATTCCATCCTTGTTTTCGTCAGTGCTTTATTTATTTGTCGCATTAGTTTTGAATATCATTCCATTCTGCAATAAATTATTGTTCATTAGCTGTTTCTGGGTTCACAAAAGAGTGTTTAGTTTTAAGATGGCATTTAGAAACTATTTGAGCGCGGCCAAAGCCACTCTTTTCAGTCCACTCTTTTGATATTGTTAGTTCAGCAGCATAAAGGTCTTGCAATTCTTCGATATATAAGTACTCTAGAAGGCGGTGAGTGGAGTGGCAGAATGGCCTTATGCTTCATAATGGTTTTCAAGTGGCTATTTTTAACTATAAGTGCAAGACTGGAATATTTATGTGAATGTGACCCGACTTATCTTACCCGTAATCTTTTTCTGACTAACCCTAGCTCATCAAGAAACCTCTGAGTAGATCTCATGATACCTTCGTCGGTCGCAAAGATCCAGCAAAAGATCATTATCTGCATTTCTTGACGGGTAGGAACTGCCACCATCTTCGGTACTCAAGTTGATGCTGAACGGGTCCATGCCATGCACAAAACGAATAGCAGCTTCTTTTCTGTACTTGCCTTCTATCCCGATGTCCACTTTAATGGTTTCTTCTCTAGTCTTGTCACGTCTCCATAGCTTAGTTGTGTCATCTGGAGCTGCCTTGAAGTAATTGATTTGGAGGCATTCTGTGCAGCATATTCACCTGCCCTTTGGTTCATCATTTCCAGTTTAACGGATCAACGCTTTCCGATGTTGCTTTCAGTGTCCACTTTGTCTAGTTTATCTCCTGGACTTCTTGCATAAGCACCAGGTTTTTCTCCTTTACATCTAAATAAGCCTTAGACTCGCGTAGCATATTTTTCTGGAAGTACGTGTCTTGTATCTTGACACGTTTCGTTCACTTCTCCAAGAGCTGTTTCTGTGTACATGGACGATCCGCAATGCTAGAATTTTGCATACTTCTGTTTTTTAACTGGTCATTCCTCCCTCGTCATTCTCCGAAACGGTCAAGGAGCGCCTTCAGCCTCTCTCGACTACCTGCTCTATGGAACTTCGATTCCACGGGCGAATGCTTCTAGCGTAATCATTCTGTTGTACCTGGTACTGGTACTTTAGCAGAGCGCTCTCTCACACCCTTCATCTCATCTATTTCCACTGTTTTCTAATATGATTCCAGATGCGGTTTTTTCCCCCTTTATCCTTCATTTTTTGCATGAAACCGCTTAGAAATTCAACCACTCGAAAGCAAATCGACGGAACAGCAGTATGTGTGTATAATACTAACTGATAGAAAGATTGGTTTTTCCATATAATATAAGCCAGTAATTTTACTCATAATACTAAAAATATCAAACTTGCGCAGCCAAAATAAATTTATCGTCAACAGAAGCTTAATTTGTAGAAAAGATAGTTTCTAAAGCTAATTTCTGTGTTTAAAAGTTTTGGAATAAACTCAAAAGATAACTTGCGCTTTATGAGATTGCTTACTAATAATTATTAATAGCTTGCATTACTTTGATGGAAAGGTGCTGTGAGAGAGATAAATAAATGGTAATATTTAGTGAGAAGGTTACTTCGTACGTGTTGGAAATCGTATGGAATTCATAATTTTCGCATACCGAAATTACTGCAAATACTTTCATTGAAAACAGCATAATGCAAATGACGCAAGCAAATAATGTTGAAAATAAATAGCGAAAGAAATGATATTTTAGACTTTTATTAGTTAATAATTTAGCAGCTTTTGTCTTTACTCTAATTAAGCGCACAAGAAAGTAAATCCCTCCATCCTTCTACAATAGCAAAAAAGTCAAAATTTTTAGATGTTTACTTACAGAGGTCACGTATAACGAGAAATTTATGCTATGGATTAACGGGAAAAGATGTAGTACTCATCGATGTTAGCCATTCATAAACTTTTTTGCATTTTAATCTGAAAAACAAATTGCACAATAAAGCAGAATAACGGAAATTGCTGGAGGATTTGGTAGGATTGAGGTATGCAAAATAAAAAGCCTTTGAAGGCTGATCAAGCGTAAACCAAAGTATAATATTTGGCACCTTTTTCCATTTATCCTTCTGCTATTTCTGACAATTTTTGACATTCTAAACACACGTAAGATTACTTTCATTTTTGTAAGGAAATATTTTAGGCCCTCATCGATGTGTGTGTGCGTAAGATGCAAGATTCAGTGCTTAATTCCACTGACTCACTCACTCAGTTAATAGCTCACGTACTCACTTAATTATTCACTTAATGTTTACTGCTTTTCTATTCAACTTCTTCATTTCAAATCTCAGAACATATTTGTTATAAATTTATTATTTTGACCAAAAGGATTATTTGCTAAAATTTATTATTTTTGGTTGAAAGCGAAAAAATCTCATTTTTAATAAAGTCTATTGATATAAGTATCGTAACTTTGAATAAAAACTGCATTTTTTAGAATATTTTCTCGCATTCATTTTGTCCTCAAAATTGTTATTCTAAATAGGCGTAGAAGAAAAGGTCATCAGGTGTGCATTGATAAGTTAATCTTTCCTAAGCTTATTCTTAAATATTAAAAACTTGTCCGTTATTGATTGTGAAGAAAAAAGCGAGATGGAAATGGAAAACAAACTTTGTTCATCTCATATTTAACATTTTAATGTCTCTATTTTACTGCAAAACTTTTTTACTATTTATTATTATATTTACATTTAACAAAATGTCGTGTTACATTGTCTACTAAGTTAATTTTCTCAATGATTTGACCTTTACCCTCACGTAATGTAATTAAATTGGTTTACATTCACTTCAAGGCAATTCAAGCACATTTATTTTTTACACTGCAATTGCAATGCTTTACAATTTTCAAATACAAACTTACAGTATGATGTTCAAACATTTTCAAGGTTTTTTCTAAAAAAATACAGAAAAAGCAAATTATATGTTTTGCATTCAATTTGCAATTATTTTTTGAACTATTAACTAAGAAGCACGCGATGCATTTGCTTCTTTTGGCTGTTGTTTTGCAGAGCCGTTTATATTCATTATCATTTCAGATAATCTTTGTATATATCTTTCTGAATCCAAATTTCGGTTTCTACTAAAATCAATATAATTGATAATTAAATGAGTCTAATAATTAAATTAGTCGCAATTCAAAAAAATTATACGCGTCTGAAGCATCAATTTTTGTTAAAAAAGCTGAAAAGCTAATAAAATTTAAAAAATTTGATATTTCAGAAAATGATAAATTAATTGTTTGATTTTGTTACCAAAGTTTAATGGAATTAATGCTTAGTGACTTCATGCATTGTAGAGAAGTATCAAGTGTAGAAAAAGCAACTGTTAATGAATTGAAAGTAATAAAAGAATAATAAAATAAGTAATTATAAAATTTGTGCTGTTAAATTTGTGTCTTTTTTGAATTCTGTTGAATCTCTTTTTGATGAGAAAATTCAAAAAATAAAAATTAATAATATTTTTAAATGATACATCATTTTTAATATAATTGTGTGCCTTTGAATTAAACTTCAAAAGTGAGTAATTAGAAAAGTTGTATAAAATCTGCGCTTTTTATATTAATAATATTAATGTGATATGTAATTGTTAATACTTGTTAATAAACTTTCTATTTTCATGTAATTTTTAGTAAAGCAAATGTTCAGTTGTTGAATTATGCTATTTATTTGATTATTTTTTCTACCTTTTTTACGTTTTTTATATTTTTGAAATTTTTTTTGGATAAAGTGCTTTTTTTATATTTTAACTGGCTAAGTTATATATTTTTCATTGTTACATTGCATTATTTTTTAGAACCGAAAAGTAAAGTAAATGCAAGGAAGTAAGAAAATTTGCCATAATAAAATTCTATGCTCATAGCTCTCATTTCCCTTAATTTACATATAGTTTTTGAATGAATTTATTCATTTTTATTCCATCTAAAATATTTTTAATTTATTCATTTTCATCTCATCTATAATAATTTTTTCAAGTTTTTTATTTGAATTTATTACTATTGCTGTTATTATTATTACTTTAATTGCAAGTTGCAATTAAAGTACTGTTACTGATTATATTATTAACTTATTCGAAACTATAAAATATGTAAGTAGTAATTTCTTGAAAATTTCTGACATTAATTCAGCCACCAGCATTATTCACTATTAATATATAAAAAACAAATATAGTCCAAATTAGATTCCTGCAATAACTTCAAATCAGATTACTTTTTGTCCACAGTATTTCATTACAGCTAATTTAACATGCTATCCAATTTGCGTTTGTTTTATTTTTCTATTTTTTATCGAAAACGAATGTTGTTTTACTTTTTTAAATATGTTTATTTGAATAGAGATCAGTTTGTATTTTTGCTTTTAATTTGTTCATCATCAATTGTCCCATTAAATTATGAATAATACTTAAAAAATCCCTTTAAGCTATCTTAGTTAGCTTTGTTTACATCCAAACAGCTGTCTTTTAATCATAATTTTGTGCTTGCTTATCATGATCTAACATCAGAGGTCAAACTATGCTTTTATTTCATGTCTGAATGTATACTAAAGTAGTTTTATATGGTAAATTGAATAAATTAATAAGTCATTACTGTTATAAAATAAAAATAAAGTTGTAATGGATGGAAAAAAATGGAAAATGAACGTTTATCAAATCAAATTTTCTATAAAT